AAGAACGCCGTTTCGAATGTGAATCCCAGGATGAATGAAGAGGCCCCGAGACAAAATCCAGTGCCCAATAGCTTGCAGACTTTGTCAAGAATGTTTTGTTGTAGGACTTACAGATAGAAATGTCCTGTCCAGGTAGGTTTTCTGTTTTATGACTCCATTAAATCAATTATGGGTTTAATGTCGCGGTCTTGCCAGATGGTCTTTCCTGACTTCATCATCACTCCACGGGTCTCGATCAGCCGATGTTTGATGTTGTAATTTGTCTTGCGACCGGAGTCAGCAGCTCGTATTTCGCTTCCACCCGCTGGAACAATATCGGCAGCTTTCTGGGCAAGGTCTTCCTAGAACAGGGCGTCGACGTTCCCGTGTGATGATCCCTTACGATGACGGATAGTGATGTCATATTCTTGGAGTCCCTGTATCCACTTGCCTATTTGACCCTCAGGATTCTTGAAATTGAAAAGCCAGGCCAATGAGGCATGGTCCGTGCGGAGGAGGAATTTTCTGCCGTATAAATAATGATGGAAATGTTCTACAGCTTTGACTATGGTGAGCAACTCTTTCCTGGTGACACAGTAATTACTCTCCGGTTTAGACAGGCACTTGCTCCAGTACGCCAATACACGTTCCACACTACACTTGGCCGTCTATTTCTTGGGACAAAACAGCACAGACACTTTCATTGCTCGCGTTCTGTGTCGAGAATAATTGGTCTGTCGAGCTGAGAATACGTGAGGATCAGAGCAGATGTTTCAGATCAGAAGCCTCCTTTAAGTTGTTAAATGCATCCTCGCATTCTTTTTGTCCACAAGAATTTTTGTCTCTGTCAGCTGGTGAAGGGGGTCTTGCGATGGAAGAAAAGTCCTTCACGAATCTCCTATAGTAGGTGCAAAGCCCTAGGAAGCTTCTCAGCTGATGGACATTTTCGGGACGTTTCCAGGATTTAACGGCTGACACCTTTTCAGGATCCGTGCACACACCTTCTGCAGAGATGACATGTCCGAGATACGTCACTTTCGGAACAATTTGCATTTAATGGGACTCAGCTTCAGATTGGCTTCTTTCAATTTCTGAAGCACCTTCCTAAGATTTTCTAAATGTTCTTCAAAACTCTTTCCGACGATGATGATGTCGTCCAGGTATATCAGGCAGGCTTCGTAGGAAAGACCGTTCAAAACAGTCTCCATGAGGCGTTCGAATGTTGTCGGCGCATTGCACAGTCCAAACGGCATCACCTTGAATTGCCAAAGCCTTGTCCCGTAGTAAATGCCGTCTTTTCTCGGTCTTCAGGCTGTATTTCTACCTGACAATACTCACTCTTTAAATCAAGTGTTGAGAACCACTTGCTTCCAGAAAGAGTGTCTAGAATGTCATCAATTCTAGGAAGAGGGTAACTGTCTTTCTTCGTAACCTCATTCAACCGGCGATAGTCGACGCAAAATCTTGTTGAGCTGTCTTTCTTTCTGACTAGGACGATGTGAGATGCCCATGGACTTGCTGAAGGCTTGATGACATCGCCTTCTTCCATATCCTTTAAAAGTGTTCGTACCTCTTCCTGTTTAGCAATCATTAGACGTCTTGGATGTTGCTTGATCGGAACATTTTGTTATATAACAAAATATTGAAATAACTAAATATGATATAAATGTAGTACTAAAACGTTTTCCTTTCATCCAATTAACAAAATAATTTTGCTCTTTTTCTGGATGAAAAGTAATTAAGGAAGAGAGAAATGGAGAGCAGAAAATAGTATTAAAACCTAAACAGTTAAAAGAATATTCCAAGCCAAATAGAACTTTAAAAAATATTTCTGTTTAGAATGAAGGAAAAAGGTATTAAATTAAGAAATATCGCTATAAAAATATGGTATAAATATTGCAAGTGAAAGAGTTTTTTTAAAAAATATTTCTATTTTGAAAGAGGGGTGGGGGAAAGGTGTTAAATTAAGAAATATAGTTAAATTTTTAATAAGCTGTGAATAAGAACTCATATTTTTAATAAAATTCAGAAATTTTGGAAAAACATGAAGTGTCTGTAAACATTAAATTCTAAAGAATGAAAGCAAAATTGTGTACCTTCTGGACAGGTAATACTCACAAGTATTTGCAATATAATACGCTTAGAAAATGACTATATGATCACTTTTGCATCATATATACTACGTTCAGCATTTTCTGTACACTATGCTTCATGCATATTTGTAATAAACATAAACAGATTAGTTATATAAGCCCCAGGCAGCATGCATTCGTAAATTGCACGAGAAAAATACGTGCAATTTACGAATGGCCTTTCGTATAAAAAACGTTCAAGTTGAACGTAAAAATATCATAAAAAGTGTCCAGTGGCAATTACTAAATATTTACGTATATTTTTACGTTATACTATACGTAACTTTTACGTAAAATTTAGGTATATTTACGCGAGAGACTACTGTTCATTCGCAACTTTTACGTATAATATACGTAAATTTCAGGGATTTACGTATATTTTTAGTAAAAATTTACGTATATTTATCGCATATACGTAAATCTCAATTTTTTGCTTCACGTATGCGTATATATTTAGTAAAAATTTACGTAAATTTCCCCGATTTTTTACTGTATATAAACGTATATATTAGGTAAAAATTAAGGTAGATATTCCCCGTATTTTACGGTACAAAAACGTATATATTTGATAGAAATTAATGTATATATTTCCCGTAATTTACGGTACAAAAACGTATATATTTGATAGTAATTGACCTAAATCTTCCCTATGTTTTCTTTGCATATGCGAATGACTGGTAAAAATTTAATCCGATGTATTCTCCACTTTACTGTGTATAAATGCACATTTTTTTGTAAAAATTTGCATAAATCTCCAATTACCTTTTCACTGCATTTTTCATAAAATGTACTTATTTTAATCTCATATTTTTTATATAAATCTATGCAAAAACTTTCTGTATGCTATGATTAAAAGGTAAAATAATTTTTATATCAAATTCTTACATATCTCTTACATATCTGCCTTTTAGTTATGTACAGCAATATGGAATATATATAACTGGAAAATTTAAATGCACTAGTAAATGAAAAAAAAAAAAAAAAAAAAAAAAAAAATTCTATTAAAAAATTATGTAACACTTAAAGGCTGAAAATGACTTTTAATATTTCATTTCAAAGTGACTACAAAATATGCAATAAATTTCGTAAACATCAATTCTGTGTTTTAAATCAATTAATGCTATCGTTCATTTGCATTTTTGTTTACTAAATTCATTTCATAAATTTAAATTTAGTAAACAACTGTAGCAAACAGTTGTTTACTAAATTCATTATACTAATAAACACTTTAAATAAATTATTTGCTTTTCCGAAGGACATTTTCTTATGCCATGTAAATGAACGATAGCATTAATTGATTTAAAACATAGAACTCAGGTTTACAAAATTTATTGCATATTTTGTAGTCACTTTGAAATGAAATATTAAAAGTGATTTTCAGCCTTTTAGTGTTATGTAATTTTTGAATAGAAATTAATTTTTTTGCATTTAAATTTTCCAGTTATATATATTCCATATTGCTGTACATACCTAAAAGGTGGATATGTAAAAATTTGATATTAAATTAATTTTATCTTTTAATCATAATATGCAGAACATTTTTGCATAGATTTATATAAAAAATAAGAGATTAAAATAAGCACATTTTACGAAAAATGCAGTAAATAGGTAATTGGAGATTTATGCAAATTTTTTACCAAAAATGTGCACTTATACACAGTAAAGAGGAGAAGACATCGGACTAAATTTTTACCAAAGTCATTCGTATATGCAAAGAAAACATAGGGAAGATTTAGGTCAATTATTATCAAATATATAAGTTTTTGTACCGTAAAATACAGGGAATATCTACGTTAATTTCTATCTAAAGTACAATATAGTTAATTAACAAATTCAGTAAACGAATGTAGCACAAAAGAAAACATCATACGTTTAGATTATTTGAATGAGTGTGCTAAATTTTAAAATTGTTAAATATAGACCAGGAAATTGTAGAAAACTTACCTTTTCCAATAGTTTACCAAGTTGACTTTGTTATTTTCCTTGAAGATGAATGTTTAATGTCACAAATATTTCATTCATATCTTCAGATAATACACAAATATATACATATTTATTTATTAAAATTCAGTTTATCCCAAACATGTTAAAGAAAATATTAATTTGCATGCAAGTTAATCGAGTAACTTCTGTTTTAATTACACACATAATTATGATATGTAAAAATTTTACATTTATCAGTCAATCTTGCAATGTATTGTAATCTATTATTGTTGTCTTTCTCAGTTTAAAATCTTATAAATATATTAGATCAGTACTAAAAGTTCACCTCTACAAAAGAAATGCTTTATTGAGGTATTTTTAAAAAGTTCCCTTTTACAATGTAACTGTTAATTTCATAAATAAGTTCATAAAATTATGCAAATTCAAAATTACCTAAATATGTTCTTTATTTTATCTTATATACCAGATAAAATTTTAAAAAGTTAATTTGTTTAGGAATATTGAAGTTTTTAAATATTTATCTCATGTGACTTTTTCTATAACATCATTATAAATGTACATGTTGATGTGGACATACCAATTATTTTTTTTCATCAAATAGCTTTATGGTATTAAATGATTTAAAAAGAGGCAACTGGACAAAAGAAAGCAATTAGAAGTTGGCTAATTTTTTATTAATTTGTTGTCAAATGCTGTGCATTTTAGATTATGCTCATATGATGACAATGAGTTATTTAAATTATAAAATTATTATGAACATATCCCACATAAATTAACAAGTATAAAATTTCAAGTTGTTTGAAGTATTATGAACTGTAATACTTGCAAAAGAAATACACATGAAATTAATTTAAGAATTAGGTTTATTTTACAGGTATTCGAAAAACTGCAATTACTGTTAAACAATAAAAACTAACATTAAATCTGAAGAGCATATTTTTTTTCAATAATAAAATTCAACATAGACTTCATGCAGCTTCGCCATATTTGTTCTATAGTTCGCTGTCTTTAATATCCTGCTCGATTTTTGTAAAAGTGAATTCTTTGTCACCCAATGTTTTGAGAACAGCTCCTAAACAAGAAAAAGAAAAATTTGTAATAATTTCACACTTCAGATGTTTTCAGTTTTTAAATATAGTTGAAGTATTAAAAGATGCATATAAAATGCACTGAGTATTTCATATTTAAAAATTTACATTTCAGTAATTAAAAATTTAATTTCATACTATCACACAGTAAGCTTCAATTATATACCTTACACAATGACTATAATTTCAAGTAAAGTACTTAAGATTTGTTTAGAACTGCAAGGTTGAGTAAAAAAAAAGCTAAAAGTCTTAATAATTTATTATAATTTATTAAAGTCTTTAATGGCTATGTTTGTATTTAAGTACATGAGAAAAAACTTAATTTTGTATTAATTATATTGCATTAGCCTTTTCAATTTTACTCCTACATATAGTAAAGAATATTCGCTTTCTTACAGATAACTTTTTCTTAAATAAAGAGTAAGCAGAAAACTAATCACAACACTATATACATATAACAGAATACTTCATAAACATATACATGTCATTAACATACGTATATGCATTAACAGGCTATTTTACACATTTCAATAAACCAGAAACCAATACACAATCAAAAGTATTATCAGTAAATTCCTCCAAAATCAGAGCAAAAATCTTTAATTATGATAACAATGGCATCTCAGTTTGCAATATAAAATATTTCAAGTCTACATTCATGTGCATTCTAAGCAAACAGAAAGCTGAATAACAATAAAATTATAAATACCATAAAAAAGTTAAGAGCCACGTAGAATGATAGCAAGACTAAATGAAGTCTTCCTTCAAAAATCAATTTAAATTCAAAAATTTGCCTTCCTGTTTAACATCTCAAAATAGGGTTACTGCTTTCACTAACTAAATTTCCTGTCTTGGCAAAATAAAAATTGTCACTTCTGTTGCAGGAAATATTTGCTGCAAACTTTGTATGCAAATAATCCAGTGAAAAAAATTTTAATTGTGGCTTGAATATTTTCTTTATTAAATAAATGAAAAATTGCCACATAATATTAATTTATGATCCACATGAAGCTTTTTACCTCTACCATATCATGCAGCTATTTTAAAATATATACTCTCATATAAAAGCCACAGAATTTTTTTACCAATATTAATATAGTATAAATCATTAATAAATCTTCTAAAAACAGCCCCAAAATTTCTGAATTTGATACCCAAAACATAATTCTACGTAACTGTTAATGTATGCATTTGCTTGCACATACTTAAAATGAATTATACACACAAAAACTTAACATATTAACTTTAATAAATTCTTAATTAGCAGGATGACTCAATTAAGGCAAAATATGAAAGAAATCTACCTGATGGAATAGTTGTAAAAGATATATTTAAAAAAAGCTAATATTGTTTACCTTACACATGGCAGAAATTGAGTAAACTGTATGCAGCTGGATTATTTATTAGGAATAGAAGTTAGATCAAAGTACCAAAGTCACACTAGGGCTTTAACCATTTGGGTGCAAAGAAGCATCTCAATTTAAAAAAGAATAATTTAAAAAGCTAATAGAATTTATAACTTTTACAATCTAGTACAAATATTAGACACATAAACAACACTAAATGCCATTATTTACTTGCATATTTTCCTTCTTTGTGTACTTTACTCCTTAATTTTTCAGGATATGATTTAGAAACAGAGTTATGGTAAAAATGTATACTGGTAAAAAAAATATTGCTGAAACTGATAAGTCCTTTGAATTATATACTATAGTGCAAAGAGGGATGGAATATGTGACTAAATATGATAAATCAGATTACAATAACATTAAACAAATAACATGAAAAACTGAAAAAAGAAATTTTATTTGAAATTATTTTTTAACTCATGGAAAGACAGACAGTATTTCCAACTTATTAAATTCAATTATATTTTTACCTTCGTCAAACCAATATTGGTAAGAGAGTTGTATTTAAAATCGGTGCTAAGCTAAAGCTGCTTTCTTGCCTAATTTTATACTATTGAAAATACCGGTAATTGTCAAAGTTATTCGTACTCAATATGTGTAAGATTATTAATGAGCTGCCAAACCGCAGTTAACCATCTAATATACTACATTCAACATTATTATTTTTCTTTTTGAATGTCAGGTTTTCATTATTTCTGCCAATATATCTGTAACAGGACATAAAGATTGAGTTAATGTAGAATAGAAAATTACCTTGCAAGTTAGCACCTTTACCTTAGTGGCAGTACTTCATTCTCTAGAAAAAACATTTTAAATTATTATACTTAAACAAAAAATTCATATTTGTTACAGCAAAAACATCATTAACACAATAAACCAGAGTTGAATGCAAATCTAGTTTAACTCCATTCTTGAAAACTAGTTTATTACTTTCAATTTAATTTAAAAATAAATAAAAAATAAGGTACGTATTATGATGACTACCTAGATATCTCGCCTAAACTGGCAATCCTTGTAGGTTATACAGGTTAACCCTAACATAGGTTATAGAGGGCACTAAGATAGAGAGTATTAATCCCACACTAGGGACTCTAACATTTGGTAGGAACAGTTTGAAAAGTGAAACAGATATTTATAGTGAACCAATGCAAAACAAAAACAATAGTTCTTTAGGGACAAAGCCCCTTTGGACTAATAAATACGAGTAAATTAACAGCTTTTAGCTATTTTTTCTTCTTGTAAAAAATAGACATACAGAATATTTTTAGAAAATAACAGTACTTTAAGCATGCATTTTCCACATATTTAACACAATAATTCATTCTAGCTCTGTTGCAATACTGGCAAAGGTACTCCTCTGTTATTAGGACGGGATTCAGAAATGTACAATGAAACCTCGAGATACGAGGGAAAGTATGAGCAAAATACGAGCATTAATTCGAGTAACGAGCAATGAGCCAGGCTGTTGGTATGGGTGGCGCCATTTCCCTATCCGGCTCAACTCGGGGAATCCCCTCGTCAGATCACTCAGTGTTCTTTTATATACGTGTTTGTGCACTTGTAAGTTAATTGTTTTGACATTTAACGTGAAAATAATTATTTCAAGATGCCTCGCAAGAAGATTGTTGCCTCAGATAGTGCTGCAAAGAAAAATAAGGAGGCCATGGCCGTCGATATCAAGAAAGAAATCATAGATAAACATAAGCATGGTGACGGAATTGGCGAAGACTTGCGGCCTTTCAACATCGAAAATCTATACTATTCTGAAGAAGCAGGAAGAAATTAAGAAACCTGATGTAGCCAAAGGAATTATCGTTGCTTCCAAGCACCATAAAAGTACTCCTAGATGTTGAGAAGCTGTTGTTGGTGTGGATTAATGAGAAGGAGTTAAAATGTTGGTAACAAAGTTAAACTATTGTTATATTATTTACCAGTGTTATTTATTAGGAAAAATTGACTTGATATTAAAATGTTGATATTTTTTGGGGTGTGGAACGGGTTAACTGAATTTCCATTATTTTCAATGGGGAAGCTTGTTTCTAGATACGAGAAATTCGCTATACCAGTTGAATGCTGGAACGAATTAAACTCGTATCTCGGGGTTCCACTGTAGATATGTAAGCATGTGTATATGCATGTATGCGCATATATGTATAAGTATACACATACATACATAAAGAATATACACATGCACACACGAGCACCTACATTTAAAAATGCATGCATATAAACACACATTTCTGAATCTGGTCCTGATAACAGAAGAATACCTACATGAATCATAGGATTTACATTAATCAGTTTTATTAGAATTCTTAAATGCAGAGGATTTACATTAATCAGTTTTATTAGAATTCTTAAATGCAGAGGATTTACATTAATCAGTTTTATTAGAATTCTTAAATGCAGAGGATTTAACATTTTCTTAAATGAAATCTTCACTATCCGAAAATTCAGTTTCATTTCCAGCTGAAACTGTATCAGGACAATCTCATTTATATTATTTCCCTCTAACAACTGAACATTTTGAAAACCTTTTCTATTCCATGGAAAACTAATGCTACATTAAACATACATTTTCTAAATCTGAAAATTTTAAGTTAGCTTAGAAACTGTAATCATTCTTAAAAAAGTTTGATTTATGCAGATGTTAGATCAATAAAATTACTTTCCTGTGAAAAAGTAATATGGCATTGAACAACACGATTTTACACATCAAGATATACTGAGTGAAAATTCCTGAAATGTTTTATTTCTTGGTATCTCTGCAAGAATTGAATTGTATAAATAAGACTACCTCCCTTTTTTTAAAAAAAAAAATTTTTAGTAAATACTATGAAGAAAATTGGTTACATTATTTACAGTTCATAATTAATAGAAAATAAATCATTTCTTAGCTTATCAGAATTTATTTTTATCACATTCATAAACAGTACTAATTTAAACAAACATACCATTATGATTTCAGTAACTATGAAATAGAAAATCCAAATCTGCATCTTTGATGGTCTAGTAGATTGGATGTCTTGTTTACTACAATTCAGCAGGGTGCTGACTCCCCAGACTGTAATATATATATATAATTAATTTACAAGGGAAAAAGCAACAAAAATATAAACAATTTCTTGGTTTTATATAAGCATTTCTGCACATTTACAATTTTAATTTTTTTAACTATCTAGTTATATCAAAATACATGATTTAGTAAAATATAATTTAAGGTATTTTAGATCAAATGCTAATTTTTCAATAAATTTTTTCATGCAAGTTTAATAATCAACATAACTATCAAGTTTTGACTTCGAAAATTATGTTTAGAGAAACTTGAAGCTGCAGTAAATAGTAATAAATTTATTCAAAACTGAAAGTAAAGCATTCTTACTTTATTTTCTTTCTTTAACTATGGCAGATCTTTTAAAACAACAAAATCAAACAAACAAAAAAGAAATGCATTCATGAAAGGACTTAGGACAAGGATATATTTCAGTAATTACAAGTGCATAAAAATTCAGTATATATATAAAAAAAAATGAACACAGATTTGGAACAAAGTACCTGTGTTTCTATGGCATAAAATTTCCTTTTTTAATAGCACAATATCTTTGAGTTAAAGATTATATATTAAAGCAAATTTATAAAACTAAATTCAAAAATAAGAAATTAAATTATTTTTAGGGAAAACACTAAGCAAATAAAAAATTTTGAATTTCATAAATAAATGAAAGTTACATGCTTTATTTTTTGGCATAAGGTAGATAACATTTCCATAACAGATTTCTGAACAAGAAAGAGTAGGGACGATCTGGTTTCTTTAACATTGAAACCTATGCGTTTGTATCTCATCTCTTTTTAATATTAAATGTGATACGTGTATGGTGATGAGATATGAAAGCCACAGTTTTCCAAATAGGATTTAATATATCTCATTAAAGCACTTTTACTGCATTTCGCGCATTTTTTTCACGCGTAATTCTTGTACAAACATCTTTACTTTGGTAAAACGGTAAAAACTCTAAGCACAAAATTTATGAACTTAATTTGCGTAAAAATAAAGTAAAACTAAATAAGATTGATAGTACGTGATGCTTTGAAATAAATAAGTAAAATTAAAAAAGATCTGATAATATTTTTTAAAAAATTTAATGAAAATTTTCAGGCAGTGATTTTCAAACAATAATATTAAAAAACGATCATATTTATTTGATTATAGGATCATAAGAATCATAAAATCATTTAGAAAGTTATCCTGTATTGATTGACATGCATTTGCAAGTTTAGTGACATTATATTCATGGCACTTTATTATGTTACAATTATGCCACTCTGTGACGCTATATTAAAGTGGCAATGCGTCGTTTGGATGAATGTCCCAATGTGACTTCACAACAATATCACGGTGTAACTTCACAACTACGTCGCAGCGTGACTACGCATCAACGTCACAGCAATGTCACAATATGACTTCACATTAGCGTCCCCATGCAACGTCACAAAAAGTGAACATTAAGTCATGCCTACAAACGTTACTGCGACATTGAGATCGTTACAGTGTGACACGATTGCAATATCACAGCGACCTCGTATGCTGTTGGGGTGAGGTGTCAAAACTTTGTAAATGGTGCCGTCGATAGATTACTGTCAATGGTAACGTTAGCATTTTACCCGCATCAACTCAAGATAAATAATCCGCGGATTTCAAGTTGTATGCAGCGAATGGTACCGAAATCGAAACATATGGTATAAAAATTTTAACACTTGATTTGGGACTTGGGCATGAATTCCAATTTCCATTAATAAAGGTATTTTAGGAGCTGATATCCTTAACAAATTTAAATTAATAATTAATTTGCATTGCAAGAAAGTGATTGATGGAATAACTCAACTATAGGTAATTGGTGAAGTTGCTTTCATCAGTGCAAATAGTGATATCGTTACAGTAGCTCATTCGACAAAATTTCATGCTCTTCTAAAACAATACTCAGACTTATTATCCAGACAAATTTGTTCTTATCAGGTTTAAAACATAATGTTCAACATTATAACAAAGCCTCGGTAGCGCAGTAGGCAGAGCGTCAGTCTCATAATCTCTCATTGCCAGAAGTCATATTATTACACATGGTCAACATGCGCATTCTTAAGCAAGACAGTTGAATCAGCAAAAGCTTGCAAAATTAGTAAGTTTGCAAGAGTTCCAGTTAATGGTGGACAATAAGATAATAAGACCCTCAAGGTCTCAATAGACAAGTCCTCTTCATGTGGTGCTAAAAAAAAGATGGTACTCTTCGCCCACGTCGAGATTCTAGACAGCTAAACGATAAAACAGTTCCTGACTGATATCATATTTCTAGGATTAAGGATTTCCATCATATTTTAAAAGATACAAACATTTATTTCAAAAGAGATTTATTTAGTCTACTACCAAGTGCCTTTTGCCAAAGAAGACAGATGTAAAACTGCTATTGTTAATCCTTTTGGATTATATGAATATAATGTAATGAGTTTTGGTTTGAGAAATGTACCAGTAACGTTTCAAAGATTTATAAATACTGGATTCAGTGGACAGATGAAGCTAAGGAACAATTTCAGTGACGCAAAAATGATTTAGTGAATACAACACTCTTATCATTTCCGAATCATGAACTGCCTCTATCATTATATACAGATGCTTCAGACTCGGCGATTGGAGCAGTACTTCGACAACTTGAAGATAAGGGATGGAAACCTATTGCATTTTATTCCAAAAAACTAGAAGCACAGAAGCAATACAGTACTTACGATAGAGAATTACTAGGAATTTACCTCTCCATCAAACACCTCAAATTTTTATTGTAAGGAAGAATATTTACAGTATTCAGAGCATAAACCCATAATCTTTGCATTTAAACAAAAGCTAGATAAAGCATCACCTCGTCAACTTAGACATTTACAATACACATTTCTCAATTTTCAACTGATATATAGCACATAGAAGATCGAAATCGCTGCAGATACTGTATCTAGAACTGAAGAAATTTCTTCGATCGACTATGATAAAATTGCAGATGGACAAATTATGGATAAAGAATTGCAAAATTTGAAGACATCAGCAATTTCCCTGAACTTCAAGCAGTATCCGCTACCTCCTGGGAAGTTTTTGTTGTGTGAAACTTCAACGAATAACGCAGCCCATCCCGGCATCAAGTCATCTGTAAAGCTCTTATCGCCTAAATTTATTTGGCCAAGTATCCGTAAAGATGTGAAGCTTTGGACTTGATCTTGCATAGTTTGCCAAAAAAGTAAAATTAATCGGCACACAAAATCAAGTTTCGGTGATTTTCAACTGCCTTCAGAAAGATTTTGTGACGTGCATACTGATTTCATTGGACCCAGGCCATCATTAAATGAGAATATTTACTGTCTCATTTGCACTGACCGGTACTCTAACTGGATGGAAGTGATTCCGCTTAACAACATTTCAGCAGACACAGTTATCAAAGCATTCTATTCTAACTGGATTTCAAAAATTGGTACGCCATGTCGCCTAATCACAGATCGTAGAGCACAGTTCAACAACCTATCAAAAATGTGTGGAATAAAATTGCAACATACAACAGCTTACCATTGCCAAGCAAATAGGAAGGTAGAGCACCTCCACAGATCTCTCAAGACCACACTTATGGCTCACAATAGCCTGGCCTGAAGTGAGACGCTTCCAACTGTTTTTCTTGGCCTATGCACAGCTATGCAAGAAGACTCCATACACCATTGCTCAAATAGTTTACGGACAAAGTATACGATTACCCAGAGAATTTTTCCAAGACAACACAACTCCTACACCACCTGATATTTTTGTCAAGCAGCTAAAAAAAAACTATGCAACGAATTGGACCAAGAACAGTATTCGATAAATATGTCCAAAATATATTCATCCCTAAAGACTTCAAAACAACAAGCAAAGGTAAAGTTGCAAATTCGCAAAGGTAGAGTTAAAAAGTAATTAGAACCACCTTATGATGGTCCTTCTTAAGTGGTTGACAAAAAGGAAAAATATTTTACTGTAAAAATCAAACACAAAGATGTTACAGTACCTATTGATAGATTAAAGCCTGCATATTTCTCACAAATAATACTAAATACAAAAACTGTAACAATATGTAAAGTGAAATAAGCTAGTTTTCTTTAGAAAGTCCTCCACAAAGGCACCCCTTGTGTGTTTTGCCATATTCAAATAACTTAAACTAGAAAATATTTTTCTCTAACTAAATCTCTTAATAAGGAAATTGGGTTACTTTAACAAAACAATTTAAATATACTAAATACTTAAATAATTTCTATGTAAAAGTGTAACCCAATTCGTGGAAAGAAAAGATCTAATATAATAAATTTAAAAAGTAATCTCAGAAATTTACATAAAGGAAACATGTAGAAAAGTTCAGTGTTTTAAAGTAATACACCATTTGTAAATTTATAATAATTAAAAAACTTATTTTATATAATTAGAAAGTGGTTATGGAAGTATGGCATTATTTGTAATTAATAATTATTTTATGAATAATTTCAAAAAATTAGCAGAATACGATGAAAGTACTGCAATAAAATGCATAAAATAAATTCCTTTTTCACATTATCTTTTAACCTTAAAAGCAACAAAAATTGAATTATATCTACCAAATAAAACAGACTCCCCAAATTAAAATTTCTAACCAGTGAGATAAAAATGAGATTAAATTGCTTCCACATTCTTTGTAATACAAATGAAAGTTAATTAACTGTCAGTTTATTATTTCTTTTTGTTCATAGCATTTAATAAACAGTGCTCACTGGAAAATTTAGCAGTGATGACATCAACAGCGAACAGAAGGAAAAGAACTAAAAAAATTGGTCGAAAATTCTTAAAGACAAAAATGCTATGCAGACAACAAACTCTTTGGTCCATCTCTCTTGATAACACTAGATACATAATGGTGTGTGATAATGTGAATTCATTTACCACAGAATATAGTTCAACAATTTCTAAGTTGTTGAGATATTTCTAATCGCATTCTTACTGGTTAAAAAGGAAGTATAGCTTTCTGTCACGTCCGATACATACATTCACTTTCAGTCAGGTGCGAATTATTCTGAAACTTAATCCCATTCTGTATGTTATTTTTGATTGGTTGTTTTATGTGTCTTGCATATGATTTGTTGAACCATGATCTGTTATAAAGTTATATATATGACCTCTGTAACCGCTTATCTCTGCTTGCTTGTATTTCTTTGCATGTAACTCTGCATATCTCAGTAATAAATATATTTGTTTTGCGAACCACAGCATTTTCTATGTTAAACAGAAATTATGCTTAACAAGTTATTAGCATATAGAAATAACTTATCTAGAAAGGTTTAACGAAACGCATAAAAATTAATCTGAAAGGCAAGGCAAATACCTTCCATTAAAGAATTACATGAGCAAGATCAAGAAAGGTCGGGGTGGGGGAGGACTGAGAAATTTCTTATTTCATTAAACATTTGCTGTGATGTGTATGTGACACCTGTGCGACATCCACATCACAATGTGACATGTCTGTGACGTTGTACCGTGGTAGAAAATGTAATGTGAAGAAACTAACTTTGAGATGTCATAGCAACTAAGTATGCTATATGGGAATCGATAGAATATAGGACTTTTGTTTTCCCCCAAACTTATTGTAAAATGGATTCAGAAGGGATTTTTTCCTTGAGGTCTGTATGTACGTACATATATTGCATAGCTCAAAAAAGATTAGCCATAGTTTTGTCTATGGGACTTCTATACAATTTTTAATGAAAATGTTTTATTTTTGCCTTGCCGCAAAGTAAGAACTGAACTGATTGAATGAGAAATATATTTTGAATGAAATTCAAGGAAATAAACTTAAATGAAGTGCATTAAAAATGTGTATAATTTAATAGGCTGTACAAAGAGGTCATGTGGTGTCCAAATCAGTTTTATATAGATAATATTACATGTGATGCTCAGAATTGAATTAAAAAAAAGTGAAAAAAATTAGGAAGAAATAATCTAACTTAATCATTATAAACTTCATATTTTATTCCTATTGTTATCAGGTGTATTTGCGGCCGAGCACTAAAATTGCTGAACTCTGGTTCCGATTGCAGGCGAATAAGCATTTTCCCCATGTGTAACATGCATACTAGCTAGTTTCCCTTAGAGAAAGTCCTCCCTCCTCTTAGACAGATAGCTTTACTGTGCCTTGCCCTAATCAACTAAACTAAATCAAACTTATTATAAGCAAATTTTTAAGTTTTAGGGAGCAGAATTTTATTTTCATTTGAAGCATGTTTGACTTTCAGAGAACTGTTACATGAGTTTAAAAACATATCAGTACAGAATTTGTATCTTTTGGCATTCTTTTATGAGTATTCTGTATTAATCTAAAATTTCAGTTATTCTTTTTTATTTAGAATACATTTAGTAAGAGTATTCCATTGCAGCATTCGTGCATGCAGTTATGTATAATATTTTTCAAAGGAAAACTGACTGTAGGCTAACTTCTACCTAAATCTTGATTGCTAAAGGCATGTTTTCCCCTTTTTGATTCATTTTTATCTGAAGAGAAGGATTTCTATGTTTTCTAATTTCCTTGTATTTGAATAAAACGGCTACAGAAATACACAAAATTAATAAGATATATAATAAAGATACTTTATCCAGCACAAATTTTTGACTGACACAAGTAATATGTAAAAGGTGAGAATGTCTGCAAATGGCATTCTTGCAATTCAGCATTAACAATGCAAGTTAGTGCCATTTTTATAAACACAATCCTTACTTGGTCTGCTAAATCGTAATTCAGAATTTGCTTGTACTGTAAAGATCTCCATTCAATTCATTCACAAGACTGAAAAATGAATTAAAGTTCAGAAAAATCACTATAAAATATCCTGTACCACAAGCACTTTACTTTTATTTTAGCAGCTTCTGAAGATGGTAGCACAGCTTCTATACAATATGATGGCATGCACTGTAGATGCCAGTTTCTGTGAATTACTAATGAAATAATGTTGCCATGGATGTACTGAAAACTATTAAAAAACATTTTCAAATGCACCTCCCATAAACGGATACAGAAATGGGATTAGTGCATACAAATTCCAGAATGCTCCAAACTATGTAAGGTAACTTACTTCTTTATCATTAGGGAAATATACAATAGTATATAATAAGATGATGAAGATATCAATAATGCAAAACTTAAATTTCTTAATTCTCCAAACAGTTTTTTTTCGTAGTGCAGTGCTAACTTGATTTTCAAAACCCAAATGCTATTTTACAGTCAGTAAAGAATTTTTATACTTTTTAACATTTGAAAAATTCTTATAAATGCCCAAATTCTTTAGTTAAGAAACCATATTTTAAAGTGATTTAGTATATTACTAGAGCAATGTTTGCTTGAGAGTCTGTTTTTTTAGATGAAATGAAAATTAGAAATTGTATAAAGAATTTTTATTTAGACAATCAAGAGATAATTCAGAAAAAAATTATACACAGTTTTTGAATACATACTTTTTCATACATTAAAAGATATAATAAAAATATGCACACACCCTCACAGTAAGAGCATACAAAAATGCAGTAATAAAAAGTTTATTATTTATCAGCCATCAATTGGATTTCTGAATAACTTTATCAAGCTTTTTCTTGACATTTTCTAATTGCAGCTTCAGAGGTTCAACATTTTCTTTTGGCAACTCCTTTTCAATATCAACATCATTTGTATCACTCAACATAACAACCTGCAAATGAGAAAAATACACATTATTCACAGAGAACATTTTATGTCTTAATAAGTTATTCTTCTTGCAATTTATTATTTTACATGTTTTTTCGAATTGCTGTAGTTAGTCTTCAAAATCATGGAAAATAAGTATATCTTAACATACATATAATGAACAAAATAAAAAATAATTTAAACTATTTAGCATTTAAATTTTGAAAACTAAACTTATCAAGCCTCATGTAGCTAGAATGATTTTGCAACTAAGCTAAGAACATGGAACTTCACAAGATCTTTAATTTGTCATGCTTTGCATATTTTCAAAATGTAGAATTGCCTGTTTCTGTGAAAAATTAATAAAAATATAAGAAATGTGATAAAAACAAAGTGAAGTAGGGAAAACTAATGTGCATAGTCACGCTTGACTAAAATGCAAAGCTATACAGTAATTTTCCATGCCGTGCATTAGATTATCCAGGAGTTCCTGTGAGAAGAAAGTATATTCATACTGAATACCACCTACCACCTTGAAGCTCCTGCAGAATACTAGGCAAGAGCTACAGCGACACAAGTCTACAACCTAGTGTAGTTTATACCTGCCCTATCAGCTTTAAATTCGTGGAATATGTAGGTCATTCCATCCGTTAGATTCCTACATTCTCAGGATAATCAGTAACTTGTACAGTGTGATGTGGATAAACATCATCATGCATTAAAAGGAAGTTATTACTGATTGAACCTCTAAACAACTTGACATGAGGATCAAGAATTTCATCTATGTAAATTTCAGCAGTAACAGTTGCATTCGTATAAAATGTATAGGTCGATTTAGCCATTGAAAATGATGCTCATGTATACAATGATTCTACCAATTTTGTATTGTTACCTTTCATGGATGTTGTCAGGCTTATCGCATACGTTAAAGAGGACTCATCAGTTAAAAAAACTTGGTTCCAGTCTGTTGCACTCCAATCACAATGATTTTGCACTGCTGCAACTTAATACATTATGCAACCCAAGCTCACAGACACAAATCATGAGGTTTCCTTGCATAGAGCTCTTTCTTATGCAGCCTGTCATTCACAGTACATCTGGACAGTCAAGTTCCTGCAGCAAACTCCCTTGTAATTTCAGCTTATATCAGCAATCTATTCCTTTTAAGAATTACTACAAAATAAATCCTGGCAGTTAGTTATGGCATGCTTTTTTACATTTACTTGGTTATCTGCACACATCAAGAGTGTCTTTAAACTCTTTCCAGATTCCCAATATGACACTTTTGGCAACTTTCTGGTTTTTACAGATCTGCCCTAGTATCAGTCCTGCTTCCATTCAATAACATGCATCCTATTCCTCACACTCTGTCAAATACTGTCTCAAGGACATATTCCATCTATGACACAGTAAAATTTTATTGAACTACCTTATTTCTAAAATCTGAAAATAGATGTGGTAGTTATTTACCTTTTTGGTTGGTCAACATTTAAAAAAAATAACTGCAAAGTCTAGTTTGCTTCTTTGGGCGAAAGGTAAATTCTGTGATTTTCTATATTTATATTTTTGTTTGCTAACTACTGAAAGTTCAATATGATCAACAAGAAATTTTGATGTACGCAAGGAGATTTCACTTAACTTCAAGTATTAGTAACTTCAAGTTTGGGCCTTAAGTATACTTACTAACAGAGGAACTGTTAGAAGGAACAGAATCATTCATATAATATGAGGAATTTGGGTAAGCTGGTTTTGACATTCAATAAATTATCTCTAAAATCTTAACCAGTAGTTTCCTGACAAGGATTTTATGAAACAAAAGCATTACATGTATTTTTGTTAAATGAGAATAAATAATATTTCAATCTTCACAGCATTTAGTCTATAAGTGTTCAAAGATGTTTTACTTTCTGCCATATCATCCATACAGTTTAAACAATGGGTCTATGGAAGGGGGTGGAATCAGTTTTGTCAATACTAGTATATTTCTTTTCCTTTTTCTTTGACTCCACAAGGTATAAGGTAAGTGACTATATGAAAGTTTCTGTCGTCTTGGTTTGACAAAAAATTCTTTCATCTTCTGAAATAATATTTGGCAAATTATCCACTAATTTTATTAAACCAATGAAGAAGTTGTTTTACTATGCAGAGGAGGCATGCCATTACATTGGATAGAGTTCTTCAGGTGTAGCTTTGCATGCAATTCAACACTTTCTATATAGGCCTCTTTCAGAATACATTTAAACTCCCATCCTAATGAGACAATGTTTCCAGAATATCTAATAATTTTTAACCTCTGCAGCAATAAAAATTAATCATTGATATTAATCTTTATGATTAATGTCTGCAAAGGTCTAGGTGCTCATACAATTTCACGTTACATGATTTTAAACACAGTATATAATATATTTCTCAAACTGGCAATATGTAGACTACATACAGTCTATGAAAATAGAATACGGAGCCCTCTATTGTACTCCCTTCCATATGTTCTGCAAAGATGGACACAAAAATGTCCATATTTCTATATAGTGAAGGTGAATCCTATTGGACTACATGATAACGTTGACTTTGAGTTATGAACCAATCACCTTTCATTAAACATCATTTAATAAAAATTGCATACAGCACCTTCTCATAGTTATTCCTTTAATTTTCCACACCAGTGTATAAAGCAAGGGTCAAGTCTTTGTTAATGAGCCCTTGTATTTCTAATTTTTAATGACACAAAAACTCTTCAGACAAGTTTAGATACTTATTTTCCTAAGAAAGAATTTAAATTTCAGTTTATCTTTTTTTCCCCCCTTCTTTCTTTTCTTTTCTTTTTTAGAAAGTATATAAAATATATGTGCATCTTGAAATATGTCAGGAAATTAAGTAATATTAATTATGATTAAAAGTACATGAATCCAGGTATAAAGCACCAGCGACATTAAAGTAAAATAAAGGAGGGAAAAAAAAAGCACTTTTTCTTACGGCAGTTCTGGGAATTTTGGACTTTTTTAGCATAATCGCATACCAGTCAGAGGGTTCAGATTCATTATTTATTTGTTTTACTATTTTTAATTGTTTATTTGATAATAACTAAATATTTTTGATCTGATCTAACTACAGCTCTTATTTCACAAACTTGTTAGAGGTATGTTTAGCAAAACTAGTAATATTTTTCAAACTAATTCATGATATGAAAGGTCCTTTGGAATATAACTCATTCGTAATGCAGAGAGTGTCTGTATTGTGCTACACGCTTTTATAAAATCTATGTGACTTAAACAGTACATACATATTTTTCCATGAACCATTTTGTCTATCCAAAAAACTGTTGTCAAACAATGTGAAATGTGATATCACAAGACATTCATAAAATCTACTCTTTGGTTTTATGCAAGCCCTGATTAATTCTCAGCAAGGCAGCACGGAAACTTCATTTCTAAGTTACAAACATTTCAGATTCTCCGAAGGTTTACAAAACTAATGAATTATGACTCGCAGGATTTAAATATTTTAAAGCCAATCATAATTTTGTGGATACAAGTGTACATACTCAAAACATTGAAAGATTCGTGCAAAATTGTGTAGTTAAAAACACAATGGAACCCTTCAACACCACTTAAATTAATATTTAAATGAAATTATTTGGCACTGATTTTACAAAGAAAATGATTATCTTGCTGCTATTTTCTATCAGAAATGTTAGTCCTCCAAAATGACTAGTGCAAATTTTAATGAATTTGCTTTTCCTTCAAACTCATATCTATGTAAGTTTTTCGTGTATTGTATTAATTTTTATTTATTGATTATATAATTAAATACAGTGATATGCAATTATCTAAGTAAATAAACAGCCAACTGTCCCTTCAAAATTTTGCCAGAATGATTGGCACTATCGCAACCAACTTTGTATATTGAGATTAGAATACATAATATTGAATACATACATAGAAACTACTGCACTTTTTTGATAAAGGTTTAATTATTCTAAACATAGGCCCAGTTTTCCTTGATTTGATTTGCTGATGCTTATTCTCTAAACTTGATCACATAATTTGCCTGTTTAAGAGTTTTCATTTTACCAAGTTTCAATGCAAAAAGAAATTATACTTTCTCCCTTATTTTGATTAATAAATAGTCAGTTTTTTTGGGGGGGGGGAGGCGACACAATATCCTTTAACAATCTTCATGACATTTTCACACAATTAACGGATTTTACCTTCTTCATCTAATGCCAATATTCTGTGTTTACATTTTATTGATGACATATTTCGCTACACCAACATATGTAATTGCAAATGAATTATGATAATGAGTCCCATACATTCAGATCAGCATAACTCTAAAGTTGTGAATGAATTATTGTTTTGATAAACATAATTAGGTAAGGTAACAAATGGCCACATGCATCGATGACATATGAAAAGGCTGTTCGCATTATCTTGTGCTTCAGATTAATACAATTCTACAATAATGATATAATAATAATGATTATGGAGAATTCAAGCTGCTAAGCCTAACTTTGGGAAAAATTGCATAAATTAAATTTGTGATCCATTTGTTTCAGTTTTTGGTACCTCATAAAAAGAATTCAGGTAGTTATCAGAATTAATTTTAAAACTTTATCATTATGTTTTTTGTTAAATGAGTTATGATCATTACCTCATAGCATTAAGTCGAAGTAGGTGTGGAATAAATGCAAGATCAGGGTGGGGGGGGAAGAGAGAGAGAGAGAGAGAGAGCAGTTGAACTGCTTTCAGATATAAAGTAATATTTTATGCAGTTTTTTATGCAAAAAAGGAAACTTGTTCATTTATTATCACAGGGTTCGTACACATTTTTGCACACGGAAATTAAGTACTTTTAAGGACCATTAATGAAAAATTAAGGATCTATGAGCAAATGGGAACTGAATACATTCAATTAAAAATATTATTCTATGCCTGAATTTCACTTTTGTAATACCATATTAAAAATAAAATAGATCCCTAAGTAGTATGCATTATTACTAAACATGAATTAATTAACACAACTATT